GTTAGTTATATTTTATGAATATGTCCTGAAGATGGTTTATTAGACCGAAACGTCCGACGTTGACATTATATTAACATTAAAACAGCATAATTGCATATTAGGATTTTTGTTTGTTTTTTCCGTATATTTTTCTTCATATATATATATATATATATTATTAATAGTAATCTTATAAGTATAAGTAACTATACTCGCTCGGAAAACCTTCGGTGTATTGATTTGCAAATAAACAAGACAATCCTCAAAGGAAAAAAAGGTATAAAAAAGAAAAACCAAGAACATGTCCGTTAATCGAAAATAATCGTCCAGCATACGAGTCCAAGACCCAAAGAAAATAACCCGGATGTGAGTACCCAAAATAACTAAATAAAGTGCTCACTACAAAGAGTAGAGCAGACCTAGTTAAACCTAGAGAGCCAGACAAACCTACCAAGGTTTCACCTAAGCGGATCGTCAGGGAAGGCTGAACCTTGGTAGGTTTGTCTGGCTCTCTAGGTTTAACTATATATATATATATATATATATATATATATATATATATATATATATGCATGTTTCATTAAATAATATAGAAAAGTTTTGTCTATTTTATGTAAATTCTTTTCATAGACAGAGAGTGAGGGAGAGGGTGGCTGCGAGGAGTAAATTGTCACCATTTTATATATTTAATTTCGCGCATGCGCGTTGTTTGTTTTTGATTTTATCGACTGTAGGGTTAGTTGGGGATCGTTTGCGAGAAAAAGTGCACCATGGCGCACTTTTGGAAACAGCATACTGTACTGCTTGTGATTCATACTGGAATCTTCAATACAAACATTTCAACGTGTTTGGTTATCAATCTGAGGACAGTGCAGAGGATTCGGAAAGAGTTGGATGAGTCTAATGGTGATTACGAATGTACAGTAGCTCGGAAAAATCACTCTGATCGTTCTGATAAGAAAAGAACTTCTGAATTTGTCGGTGAGGTGCTTATACTTAAAACGGAGGCCTACGTGGCATCCCTTGAGGAGGTAGTGCTGCCCCGAGACAAGAGGGTGGCTACTGGAAGACCCTATGTCTGACAACAGGATTCTGCACCATGCCCCACAAGCAGGAGAAACTTTCAGACAATATCTACGATCACATCACCCCTTATATTTAGCCATCTAACTCCCCAGATTGCAATTCCCTTGATTATTATGTGGGGCGCAGTTGACCAACAAAACTCTTTGTAACCCTAAAAAGGAAAATATCGGCAAGGATTATGGCACCATCTTAAACAAGGAGACCGTCCAGAAGAGGTGCAGGAAATTCCAAAGTTGTCTGGAGGCTGTGGTTGATGACATGGCTACAAACATTGCGCACTCAATAAGGATTAAACTATATATTGTAATTATGTTCTCTAAAATTAACCTACGAACAATATCTTCTCAAAGATGTAACACACGAGATATGTTTAGTTTAGCTCCGTCTGACACAGAGAGCGTTCAGTGAGGAAAAAATTCATGATAACATTAATGGTTTCCAATATTTTCTTAACTATTGCTTCACAGCGAGATATAGAAGGTAAGACTAGGCTGGGACTGGCAAATGGCCACCCAACGTGGTAGTAACTCTGACATTTGAGCAAACTAGCCAAGGTCTGCAAGAAAAACCTGGTAGATATTGTTAAGTGTGTGTGCGTTTTCTACCTTTGATAAGTTCTTTTAGACGGAAGTACACATGATCAATCATTTCCGCTTAAAGGAAAAGCCATTTTAGTTTGTCATTTCCAGCAATATTTTCCCAAAGGTTTTCGAATTTGTTCCACACCTTTACAATGTTTGACATTTTTTACAGATTCTTTTGACCAAATTCTTTTTCTACTTCTAGTTCCTTTATCGACTACAAAGTCTAGTCCGATATTGTATTCACTGACCCCTTTCATTTCTTCTTCTTCTTCTTCTTCTTCTTCTTCTTCTTCTTCTTCTTCTTCTTCATAAATTATTTGCTTCTGTCTAAATACCTCGTGGCCACGACAATTTTTTTTATAATTCTTCTCTTTCTTTTTCTTTCTTTGAATTTTTTTCTTTCTTTCTTTATTCCTTCCTGTCTTTGTTTTTTTTCTTGAACCTGCCTCTTCTGAGCAAACCCCCTCTTTCTTTCAATTTATCCGTCTTCTGTTCCAATCTTACTCTCTCTTTGTCCCATGATGAAACCTCTTCCTCTGTCCTACTACATTTTCCCTCACCCTCTCTATTTCCCTCTAGTCTTCCTGTTAATCAGACTTCCGCCATATACCGCTTTCCTTCTCTTCTCTTCCTGTCTCTTTTCGCGGCCTCCCTCTCTCAATCTTTGTCTCTCTCTACCTATCTCTATCTCTCTCACTCTCTCTCTTACTCTATCTCTCTCCCCCTCCTTCTCTCTCACTCCCTATGTCTCTCTCACTCACACTCTCTATCTCTTTCACTCTCTATCTGTCTCACTGTCTATCTTTCTCTATATCATTCTCTCTATTTTTTTCAGTCTTCCTGTTCTTAACCAGACTTCTTTTTTACATCCACTTCCTTCTCTTCTTTTCCACTCTCTCTTTTTTGCTCCCCTCTTTCTCTCTTTCTCTCTCTCTGTTTCTCTCTATCTGTCTGTCTGTCTGTATCTCTCTCTCTCTCTTTTACTCCAATATTCACCTTTATATTTTTCTGTTTTTCTTTACATCTCTCGATAGTCTGTCCATTTTCTTTCTTTCTTTCTTTCTATCTATCTATCTATCTATCTATCTATCTATCTATCTATCTATCCCAGGCTCTTCATTATCTATCTATCTATCTATCTATCTATCTATCTATCTATCTCACTATTTTTATTCCAGTCTTCTTTTTCTTAACTAAAACACATATAAAGGTATTTTTTAAACTTAAAATTCCTAGCATCTCTTGTTCGTACGCATGCGTAGTCGTATCAAGGTAAATAAACCTAATATGAAGGGTGAAACTGGTCATACGAAAATATATTCGACTTTCTCATACATCTTTTCTCTAAAATTGTTCTTGATATGCATATATCTATATATATATATATATATATATATATATATATATATATATATATATATATATATATATATATATAAAGAAAGAAAGATAGAACAGTAAGATATATAATCCGGTGTTCTTATTGATATTTTTTTATTCTTATTTTTACAAAACAGTGCTCAATGTAAATTTACAGAGCATAAATATTATAAATTAACTGATTTAAAATATGTTTTTTCCCGCCACAAAGTAAAAACCATTTTTCAAAAATGGAAGCTAAAAACTTCAAATTTAATTTTGTAATTAAATTACGAGCATTAGTTCCATTTCATCTTCAAGCGAATATTGGAATAACTTATTTTTCAATTTACTGAGTTTCAAACGCACACATAAAATTCATAATTCCCTGTTTCCAAGGATACAAAGAAATCCAATCCCTCAGACAAGGTGTTCATTTTTATTAACTATTTTTGTATCAATTATGAGTTACGTTCGAAAAAGAGGTTAAGTTTAGGGAGGGATATATATATATATATAAAACAGTTTTTTGGGTTTTTTTTTAAGTTTTAAAAGACAGCGGCTCCTATTTCTATTAAGCATTACTCGTCAAGAAAATTGAATTGGGTTCTCCGAGCCGCTGGCGTATTACATATAGAGAAAAACGTTAAAATTCCTTTCCTTTCTGCCGTGTGAGTTAAATCAGAGAGGTTTCGATGCAATCGGACGTCTAGCCACACTGAGATGCTGTGATACAGTGATACAGTCAGTCTGTCGATGACTCTCTATATATTGCGCTCTCTAAGCAAGGTTTTAAAAAAAAAAAAAACAAGAAAACTTTCTAGAGGTAAGATATCTGACTGTTGTCAAATCAGTCGGCTTTTTATCCCGGCTTTAAAGCAATCGGATGTCTAGCCACACTGATTAGCTGTGATACAGCGAAACAGTGTCTCTGTAGATAACTCTCTCTCTCTCTCTCTTTCTCTCTTTCTCTCGCCCGCGCTAAATATATATATATATATATATATATATATATATATATATATATATATATAGTATTACACAACAAAATCCAAAATTATCTCATATTGGAGATAGATCTATTTCAACCGACGAAAACTTCATCAGTCTTATTCAACCCCGGTATATATACTGAGTTCGTGTCGGAATTACAAATTTAACTGACAAAAAGTGCAGGAATTGACAGTTTATATATATATATATATATGCGTGTGTGTGTGTGTGTCTGTGTGTAAATTTATTTTCATTTTTTGTTTCAACCTTTGGAAGTAAAGTCTGATAATCAGCAGTCCTTTAAAAGGGCTGTTTTGAAATAATTTATTATATGGAACCTTAAAGTGGTCTGTTTTTATTTAAATTATTTGCTCTGGATTTACATTGAGCTCTCTGGATTTTATCCTCCTTGAGTTTACCCATACGGATTACCTAGTTTTTCATAAACTATCTCTCTATCTCTCTCTATCTCTCTCTCTCTATATATATATATATATATATTTCTGTTGATAATCTTACAAGATGTTTCATTGATTACGTTATGATGTTCATCAAACAATGACTTTTTTTCAGTGTAAATGGGCGCATTATCATTTTGGGATATGCCACTTTCTGGCAACAGTATGGTATCCATAAGGAAATTGTCCTAAAGAATGTCGAAATATTTATCTGAAGTAATTCTACCATTAAGAATGATGACAGAACCAGAAGAATACCAGGAAATTGCTGCCCAAATTATTACTGAGTCACTTCCATATTTGATTGTCGGGACTATGCAATCAGTGTCACAAGCTTCACGCGGTTTTCTTCAGGCATAAACATGTTTGTAGGAAATCACATGAAAGAAGACTCATCAGGCTAAATAACATTTTTCCATTCTTCGAGTGTGCAATTTTGTGATCTTCACTCCATTTATTTTCGCAACTTGGCGTTCGACTTTGTGATCGAAGGTTTAGGAATCGAAGCCCTTACGTGGGTACCAGGTTTGTGTAGCTCCTGACGTACTGTGAGTGTTGAAACTGTATTAGTTCGGTGAGTAATAAGTTCCGATGTCTCTTTTATTGCAGTAGTTTTATCATTTTGGTCACAATTCGTTTTAAAGCTAAACTGTCGTGCCCATCCACTTTTACTCTTTGCTAATAATGCTTTGTCTTGTTTCGTGTAAGCTGTCATAATCACGGACAATACAGCACGTGACACATTCAATAATTCAGACGTCTTTGGTCACAGATGCTGTTGCTAATCGAGCACCAATTATTTGTCCACTTTGAAAATCCGACAGGTCGCACATTTTAGAATGTAATTCTTTTACCTGAAGGTAAATAATGGCTTAATAAAGTGGAAAAGCAAGGTAAACCATTAAAATGCTGAGCTGTTACCTTTATGCCGGTTAGAAATACCCAGATATTGCGATATTTACACGCTGTTCGCATTATTTTGTCTAAACTCTATATATATATATATATATATATATATATATATATATATATATATATAAAAAGTAAAATAAGAGCCAGACTAACCTACCTAGGTTTCACCTGCGCAGATCTAGACGATTATTTTCGCCGGAAGTACATGTTCTTAGTTCTTTCTTTTTTCCCTTTTTTTCCCTTGGGTATTAGTTTGTTCATTTACAAGCTAAAACACCTAATGTTATGCTTTATATATAAGTTAATTAGTGATATATATATATATATATATATATATATATATATATATATATATATATATATATATATATATATACATACATACAAGTATATAATTGATGTATACGGAATAAATTCGAATAACCAACAATTACTATTCTTAAAAGAGTGCTCAATACAGAGTAGAGCAGATATAATTATTTATTTAAAAATTATAACATAAATATTTTATAAAATCACTACAAAAATAGCCATTTTTGTTTCAACACCTTTGGTGTCTTATCAAGTGATGATGCTGATTCAACATATATATATTAAGAAATATAGTTTTAAGGTGTGCTTTATTTATGAGATAAAGTGCTCAATATCAGAGATAGAGCATATGAAAATGAACATTGAAGTCAACAATCAGAGGTGACAGACTGTTTCCTCCTGGACGCTATCGTCATGCCAAGTGACCTGACTATTGCGTCAAGCGTGTTATCTTTGTTTTCCTTATGTTTTTTGAGTGTTGACATCAATGTTCACTTATATATATATATATATATATATATATATATATATATATATATATATATATATATATATATATATATATTAGAATTCATTATATATATATATATTAGATTCATATATATATATATATATTAGATTCATTTCTGTAGTTCACTGCCAACAGCAAGCAGAAATATTTATCCTCCCGATGATGGCCATTTCGGTCGAAACTAGTCGAGGAATCTAAATGGAATAATAATAATAAAAAACGAAAGAATATTAATCTACAACCCAGTGTGTCTAATGATTTTAATTTTTTAATTTTTTAATTTTTTATTTTCTTATTGTTCAAAAAAAAAATATATATATATATATATATATATATATATATATATATATATGTCAATGTGTCTGTGGTTGGGGAGAATGAGTGTAAGTAATGAAATTAACGAATTAAATCAGTTTGGAAATCATTTCCCAACTGTGCTATTCTACACTTTTCCGAATCAACACACACACACACACACACACAGCGTGCGATGGATATATTGTCGTCTGAGTTAATTTAAAGGATAATAACACGAGCAATTCATTTTAACATAATTACGAAAATTACAGAAAATATCTTCAAATAGTAAAGAGTAAATTTATTCAATAAAATCGCCATTGACTTCAATGACGGCCTCCATACGACTTCGGAATCTCCCGTAATTCTTCCAAACAGTTTTCTAGAAAATTTTTGCATGCTCCCATAATCCTTGCCTTCAGTACATCTTTGGTGTTTTGTTGGTCTCTCGTTCAGCTACGCACCCCACGACATAATAATGAAGCTGATTGAAGCCTGGCGAATTGTGTGGTCAGATGTAAAGATTGATGTGGTCGCAGAAATTGTTTGACAGACACAACTGGGTTCTCTTGCTTGTGTGGCATGGCGCAGAGACCTGTTGCTAGACATAGGGTCTTTCAGCAGCACTACTTCCTCAAGACAACTTGATGTTGAGTCTGAGTCCCAGTGGGAAGATGAATGAAGGCATGACATCATTATCAGTTGCTCACTTTCCGAATCCTCTGCAGTGTCTTCAGATTGACAGGCAAACACTCTGGAATGTTCGTTGTGTAGCATCGGGTGCGAATGCCAATTAGTACAACATACCTTATCCAAATTTCTGTCGGAGTAAATTGTGTCATGGTGCTGTTTTTCTTACAGACGGTGCCCAACGGACCATACTCTGCTGTGCAGTTGACAAAAATAAAAAACAACGCGCATGCGCGAAATTAAAAAAATAAAATGACGACAATTTACCCAAACCTCCTGTATATATATATATATATATATATATATATATATATATATATAAGTTATGAAAAACTACGAAAAACAATTTACCCAAACCTCCTGTATATATATATATATATATATATATATATATATATATATATATATATTATATATAAAAAAAACTTGGTAATCCGTATGGGTAATCCCAAGGAGGATGAAATCCTGATAGCTCAATGTAAATCCAGAGCTAATATTTTTTTGGGAAGTGCTATCTGATGATCCGGCGTCCTTTGAAAGGGCTCTGGTGAAATAAATTATTATAATTGTACTTAAAAGTGGTTTGTTTTTCTTTTAAATTTATATATATATATATATATATATATATATATATATATATATATA